GGGGGGGTCTGGGACATGTTTTAAAATGTGCCAAAATTAGGCTAGGAGTCCACAGGAGCTAGAAACTCCTCCAAGCAAAGAAGATCTCAGTTTTTCTTCCCGGGGGGGATACACTTCCTCATCTGGATTTCCTGCAAGGCAGGGCCAGCAACGAGGGCCGAGAAAAACGGAAATATTTGCATGGGAAGGGCAGGAGCCTTTCTCATCGCCTGCCATATAAGGCCTGGAGAAAACCCCTCTTATTCCAAAGTTGGACATTTGGTTTCAATCATGTTTCACGTCTAAACTGGAAAAAAGAGAGGGGTGGGAAGCCTCCTCCTGGGCTCACCGCCAGCCCAGGCACCCTGCAGCTTGCTGTCTCTTTCTTTCTGGGCCTTTCCTCCCAATGAGTCACATCGGCTCCTTTTCGCTTGTAAATCCTGGCCAGTGTGTCCCCATTGCCAAGATCCAGCGGCCCATCCCAGCAGCTACAACTTCCTTCCCTTGTTTGCATTTCCATGCTCCCAGTCCTTTTTTGGAGTTTGCATCCCGCAGTCCATCTCGCCCTCCATCAGAACTAGTAGGGGCCAGATGCCCAGCGAGAAAAAGAAACAGCAGTGTGTTGGGAGGAATAAAAGAAAGAGGAGATCGAGAAGGCTGTGCCAAAAGCGAGGAGGCTAAAATGGAGTATTTCAGGTCTTCCTTAATATGCCCTGCAAAAGTCTTTCTGAGTGTAAACTATTCACTCATTTAGCAATCTGGTCACTACCCTGATGGTGCAACTGAAAAGGGAGGATTAAAGCAGTTTGGCAAGTCAAACCACAAGGGTGAGTGCCCAGTAAAACATTGTGCTTGCCTGTCCAGACAGATATTACCATGAAATTCACATGCCCAGCAACATTTCACCAGTAAAAACTGGGACATGTGTGGGCAAGCAATAGCACAGAGTGGGAAAGATGGTGAAAATTATTAATGAGGAAGAATGCACACGCTAGGAGAAGGTGCAGCAGTTTGCTTTTGCCCGAGCCTACTGGGAAGGGCAGGATTCTGCTTCTCTCCTCTCCTCTCCACCTGCTGAATTAATTCAGTACAAAACCAGTTGTGCACTTTGAACTCAGTTTGCAGCAACTGCAGTAAGCTGAAGATAGAGTGGAAGTGGGAGGAAGGGATAGAAACTGGGACATTTTAAAAGCAGCTGAAAAAGTGGGATGACAGGGGATTAATGAGGATTGCTCCTGCCAAATCAGGTCAACTGGAAAATAGGCACTCAGAAGGAGGAAGGTGATGATGAGGAGGAAATTTCTTTGTGAGACTTTAGCATTTATATTTCTTGTCAGCTCACTCAACAGTAAGTCACTTGATGTTGCTGTGTATCTTCAAGTTGTTTCAAATGTATGGAGACCCTAAGGAGAACCTATCATGGGTTTTTCTTGGCAAAATTTGTTCGGGGGGGTGGGTTGCCTTTGCCTTCCTATGAGGATGAATGAGTGTGACTTGTCTAACCCCTGATCCAGAGGTATTTCACAGCTGAGCGAGGATTTGAATCCTGGTCTCCAGAGCTGTAGTCCAATATCTAAATATCCTAAAGGCACCAGATCCTGTCTGATCTTGGAACCTAAACAGGGTCAGCAGATTAATACTAGATGGGAGATGGGAGACCTATATTTCAAAGGAAGGAACTAGCAAAACTTCCAAATATTTTTTGTCTAAGAAAACCCAATGAAATTCATGGGGTTACCTTAAGTCGACAGGTGACTTGAAGGCACATGTCTTAAGTCACATGGCATAAATCATCTGTCTACCTTTGGCAACCCTATGAATTTCACAAGGTTTCTTTCCTCTAAAATATAGTCTACAGTACATGGTAT